GGGGGGGGGGGGGGTGCGCGAAGGGAGAAAGGGAGGAATCAGATAAAGCAGATGAATCTGTTACTCTAGCCTCATTGTGAAATTTTAATTTCTCAGCTCTTCTCGTTTACCCCTGGATCTCTCCATTTCATAACAATTTCGAATTCACATGGGCTAGTGGAGGCCTTGAGCTAAAACTCATGCAAAAAGGCTTCCACGTGAATGCTTATTTACCTCTGAATTTGAGGACGCATGAAAAACTCCCTACAAATCCAACTGCTGACCTTGGCAGTCCAAAAAATCCAGTGTCTTCTAGCGAAACATTGGTTGAGAAAAGATCAGCAAGAAGCTGTGACTATTCATTCTAATTCAAACTCTGAATGACTGCATTAAATTGACTGTTTCACACAGTTCGCATCATGTAACACAGCAATCTATCCTACTTATTTTTTCGCTTACCTATTCATTTCTTCAGTAGTCTTTGACTTCTTTAACGTAATGCTTACGAAGTCCTATTCCGAAACATTATTGCACCAAGGTAAAGCATAACGTAGGGAATACTCCTACAGTTTCACAAATCCTGACTACTGTAGTCACGAATCATCCTCTTCTAACTCTCAGTCTCCTCTGCTTCCATATACAGGAGGTAAGCAAACAGTTTGGCAAAAGCAAACCGTTCCATTTGGCCTTTTTGCTGGATGCATTTGCTCATTCTGCGATTCTGTTTAAGGGTCTCATAATCTCACTCAGGGAAAGTACGTGGGCAGTCGCTTCTAAATCCCAAGTGGAAGTTCTTTATACGGTGTGCATAGGCCTGCCGTGCAACTGTGACAGTATAGTGTGCTTTAACAGTTGATTCATATATTTGCCCAATGTCTTCCAATAATAACAAGGAAGTGTCTTCCACCTGGGATCTAGAAGCGACTCCCCACGCACTTTCCCTGAATGGGATTATGAGACCCTTAAACAGGATCGCAGAATAAGCAAATGCATCCAGCAGAAGGGCTAAATGGGCTGGTTTGCTTACCTCCAATACAGCCCCATGGGAGTTCACTTGAAGGCATAAGCAACATCATTTTCCCGGTTTGTTTATTATTTGTATGGAACTTTTATTCTGAGCTAACAATTGCGACATTGGCGGTGATTTTTTTACCATATATAGAGGAGTTACTGAAACAACAACTCGAAATTCACTGGAATATTCCGGCTGGACAGAGTAATTGAAGATGCTCCCTCAACCTCAGGCGATCACTTTCAGTTAAGGTTTCCTTCGCCTTAGAGAAGATTCCTTCGCCTGATTTGCCGAATTGTTTGCGATCACACACGGAGGCTACTGCCTGCTGAATTGGATTGCTTCTTTACTTTGCTCTTTCTATCCTAGCCCACTTCTGTAACGATGCCGCGGAATTGGTGGGCTGGTCGGAGGTCATTAGATGTCGGAGTCAAATCAGTAACACCTCTACTTCAAATCACAGGCCTCTGCCATGATTTGCAAATTTCCCTCATGTCGGGTCCCAAGTAAACAGCCGATCCTAACCGGCTGCCCTTTGATTGTTATTTCACGCCTCCTACTGCACTTACTTTTCCGCCCACAACGTTCTATCCAATGCTATTCGGGAACAACACTTGGGTAAAATTATTTCTCTCTTTATTCTCTTCATCATGTAACCGTTGATCCCAAAAATCAGCCGTTTGGTCTTGCAGCCTTTCAACAGCCCGGCTGTGGCGTCCAAAAAGTATTATATTAACATGAGGGGAATGAGAAAAAAAATTTTTTTCATCCCGAAAAATTTTTCCAGATGAGCACTGAGCACTCAAAAACCTTAAAACATTCCTCCCTTGACATGGTTCTGAGGAAGTATCTAATTCGAATCTAATGAAAAGCCTTTCATGTCAAGCTGAGAGCTGATCTAGCAGATCGTCCGGGTGCCAATGGGTATCTGTAGCTGCTGCCACAACCCCACCCTTCCCCCTTCCAATGAATCTGTTACTTCTATAATAAAATCGTCTGCTAAGATTTTTCTCCTCCTCCCTATGGCTCCATCTTCACTAGTGAATGTTTTTCGTTCAATACTTTTAGAAATACTTAAGCCACATTGTCATCATCTGTCTCTCTTTTACTTTTACTCTCTTACCTATGAATTTGAGTAAGATCCTACAAAAGACGCGCCAACCAAACTTGTCATTTTAACGCCTTTCTAGTCTATTCATATTTTTGCTTCCTTTCTTCACCACCTGCTTCCATCAATACCTTACTCCAAAAAGGCTGTGGAGAAGTTGGAACGATCAGTTTTTGCTTGTTTGGTAAGAACCGAAGTAAATGTGTGTATAAAAAAGGCAAAAAGTTTTTGTCAGCGGCTATGAAAGGGATTCTTTCTTTTTTATTATTATATAAGCAGCTTCCAATGAATAGCTTTGGACTGGTTTTTGAAAAAATTTTACTTTTGGGGAGCTGTTCTTCCTTATCTATTATTTTTTGATTATAACATCGAAACACCTCAACGACAGCCAGCTAGTCGACACATACTTCATCAGTCATACAAAAATATCCGTAATAGGTCAGTGAAAAGGCCAAAGGGCAGTGAAGTCGCTGGAATGACCCATTCAACTGTCCGTCTCCCATTACGATCGTTGTGGAGTTTGTTACGAAGGGTACGGTTGTTGAGGAAGTGCGCCGTATCGTGTAGCGTGGCGTTCTGATTCACAGGTTAACGGGCAGTTTTTTGGGGATGAGAACAGCACTTTGCATATTCACACGGGCAGTATTTATGAACTAAAAGGTCGCCCTCGAAACGAGGAAGAAGTCACCCTTCGGAGACTCGGATCGGATGCGTCGCGAAATGACCGCAGCAATTAGCAAATTCCTTTTCGTTAAACGGTTTCGGCTTTGGACTCCCCGCTCATGAAGGGACCCATTCCTCCTACTTTTTTTCTTTACTCTTGTTCTCTCCATAGGACTACTTGTATCTGTTCACAAAAAAACCTGTTGATCACTTTCAGAGGACTTTCAGTAGCATTGTAGAGGAATAGATTTGAGTCAGAAAAAGCTGGCATCTGAATCTTCAGATGCGTTCGAAAGAGGCTCTTCACTAATGATGAGTTCGTCGAAGTTCCTAGGGAGAACATGACCAAATCACACAAAAACAACCCCATTTCTTGTAGACTATTTCTCAATAGATTAACGGCTGATCAGAGCCTCTTCTTTTAGCTGAAACATCTAGCAGGTCGAGACCTAATGGTAGAATTATTCAGAGTACCTCCGCTTTCCCTCGGTCACGTTTCTCAGCAAGAGCTGCTTTCTTTTCTTCAACTCTTTGACTTTGCTCCGAGTATTTTGATCCGAGATATGAACGTCCCGTTATTGTCTCCCCCTTACTGCTTTAACACCTTTAAGGTAAGCGGAATGTACTACAATTGAAGATGGATTACAAGTAAAATGAGCATAGTGCGAATTATTCTCATTGGTTTGCTTCCATGTACAGACGGTGAAAAGGGACCTTTTCAGGTCTGTTTTTCTTGATATCCCGGTGAAAATGTAGTTGGGGGGTGCCAGCGCCCTCTTGTGCTCTGCGTCTCTGACACCATTCCGCACACTGCATAGAGACCGTGCTAGGGCGCAGAGATGGTTTCATCCCCCGACTAAAAGCTAAGGGATGAGCTCCGGGGTGGGAGAGATGATTTTTTCNGGTGCTCCTTCCCTAACTTTTGAAAGGGGAGGAGCTCCGGGATGGGCGAGATGATTAGATAGGGTGAGAATTGAAGAGACGCAGAGAACAAAAGGGTCTGGCACCCCCCAACTACATTTTCACCGATATTCCATTTAGACTCGCGTTCGTAACGATGATTTCTCGACCACCAAGCTACTTTCAGAAATCTATGACGAGATCTTATGGAGAAGGTCTCATCCCATTCACGCCGATTGCTTTGAATCAAGCGCGATTTCTCAGACTTCAGCGAATCACTTTGGGCCGACTGTCGGCTAGGCAAGACCAAAAAAAGGCTGCTGGTCTGGAACCTTTCTTTATGAGAAGCGATTTTTCATCATTTTTGTGTTTTGAATTAGCCATTGTTGCATGCGTGCATAATGATGCATTTGCTACAGCTAGAGTTGATGTGTCCCTTCCATGGTACTTTATAGGAGCACCTATGCTCATATGTGGAGAAGGTGTTATGGGGATTATCATGAGAGATCCATTCAATGGAAGAATCTTTTCCAGTCACCGGGAGAAAGATCCTGAATGCTTACAGTACGTTACAAAGGTAAGTTTTCCGTTTTGCCACAGAGTGACTATTGATCAAAGCGACAACTAGCCCCGGGAAGATTTTGTGTAGAATCAGGTGAGAAAATGGAAAGGTGTCAATGCTTGGGACATTCCACTGCTGGTGATAAGCTTATTTCCCACCAAATTACTGCAGTGAATAATATGCCACTGGCTTCGCTTCGGTCAGAGCTCTGGCAATGGACGATAGGTCCGAAAGGTGTGGCGCGTGGTGCGATAACTTGTCAGGAATTGTAATAGGCCAGTAGGGGATCGGATCCAGCCTAGGTACCTAGTGGAGAGGCAGTGTAGATGGCTCCAGTGACAGTTGCAAACTCCATGGCGCAATCTCAGACCTGTTTCCTCATAGGTCAACTGAGCTTTTCATTTGCCGCTGAGATGCTTGGTCTTGTAGGGTGAAAAATGCACCGGCTGATAAAAGTGGCGCTGTCGCCCTGAATCGAGTGGGAGATTTTTTTTCAAAAGGCTATCAACGTCATGCAGTGTTACTTTAATGTGATTTCCTGCATAAAATATGAAAATTCGAATAAATGACCAAGGGTCCACTCTGAAGAGCTCAAAATTGGGATCGACATCGTATTTCTTTCCCTTATTTCACTCGTATTATGTTATTAGTAATATTACTTTTTTATTTGTTATTTATTGCGTTTACTATGTTATTATTAGAGTATTATTGACCTGATCTACTTCAGAATACGCTTCCAAAATTCCTCACCTCACTAGATGGGCAGTGTGGTGTGTGGAGTAAAAAGGTCTTGAATTTTTTCTATCCCACAACGATTTTTTGGACTTTCTTCTTTTATTACATGTTTGTTTATGTTTACTACTTTAGAGCTTGATGTCATCGACAACAGATTTTCATCTCCGAATAGTTGTCTCCTTCGATTACGAGTATTTGACTGAAGAAGACAAAATATATGATCTCACCTGCTCCTACTCGTCGCAAAATATCTCTGTAAACGCATACTATGACACCATGTGGGCTTTCATCTGAATGTTTATTAATTTTTTTGCTTGCCCAAGGAACCTTTTCAAAATTACGTTGGAAGGCTCGAGTTCAAAGTAGAAAAATGTTTCATAAATCATTAACATAAGTGTCAAGTAAGGGACGTTCTATACTTTAATGTTAGGAATAAATCGTGCCAGTAGGATGGATGCATGGCCTACACATACATAACTATTACTAACCTCAATTCGCTTTGTTTGCCTGTTTTGGTTTACTATTCACCGTCGTTCCAGAAATTTCGCCGCCCAGTCTGTGAGGAACAGTTCTGTGCTTCCCACATGCCACTACTCACTTCGATTGAACTCCCCGGACGGAATGAGGATTCATGCCGCGAAGATTGGCCAACTGGTTATTTGAATAATTTCAGAGCTTACCGTTTCTTTTAGGAAAACAAGGACAGTCGATATAATGACGATCGATTCCCCAGGGACATGATAAGGATTACTTTCCTACTAGAATTTCATTACCTGAATAGGAATTTCCTGCTTCATTGAATACTGATCAGCCAACGGGGTATACCCACTTGCTTGGATTGTAATGAGCCTCGACTAATGACCCGACATACCTGAAACTTGACGAGCGTGAGGAGAGGGCGCGTCAATTTACGTAATTTGTCCAATTTATATTGACTTTCCCATCACGCTGTATGAAAGAATCGTTCCAAAAATAATCGGGTGCGACTTGTCAATAGTATTAGTTAATAGTGAAGGTTCAATTCAAATTTGTCCCTGCCTTAACGATTTTTGATTCTTTTTGTCACGTTTTCACCATTTCAGAGCCAGATGGTTACCCAGGGGATGTAACTGCCAATACTGACTTCAGGTTTATCACCGGTGGTCGTGTCCATCGGAGGAATTCTCATTCAAAGTCTACCGATGCTATATACACAATGGCGAGCATCAATCTTATTTGATTATCAATGACAAAGGGTACGTCAGTAAAGGGAACTTTTTTAAATTAATTCAAAATCGGACGCAATAGTTTCCGATACACCGTTTTCTCCCTGAGCACGTTGGGTTTAGCGACCCCATTTATTTTAATGAAGATAGAGGCCGCTCCTGGTATAATGAGCGATGTTCTGAATAGATCAAGCATTTTTTGCTCCGACTTTCCAAGCTATCATGATGGCGATACTCTCTGGGACGTCACTTCAACAGAGTTCACCTAGTTACCTCCTGAAAGTTTGACCAGTTTGGTTCCATCGAACTCATGTCAAGATTAAGAGTGGAACGGTATGGGGACATTTCGAATAGTTGTCCACTACTGGGGGGTGCTTCCTTACCGAGGTCTACCTCTTCGCCAATTTTCCTTCCGTGACTTTTCTCTTCTACGGGCGCACCAGTACTAGTATAATGATTCTGAGAGATTTGTACGTAGTAAAGCCCCGAGTTTCCAGTTCCATGGGGACCTTTTCTATAGCTCGCAACTCATGTTGCTGTCATTTTGGTTGTTTAGAAACACATCATTGGTTTCCACAAATATATTTTTTGAAGGTGCTCTCTAGATGAGACTATCCTGCCCCATCCAACGTATGACTCCGCAAAAGACCTCGTCTACACCGCCTCCAAAGCATTCAGGTTACATTTCTTCTATACTAATCGTTTTGTACAGAACTTTGATGACAACAAATTCCAAATTGGCCGTCTTTTCCACTCCCCAACTGAAAACCCTTCCTCTTATTTTTATATCTCAATTATATGAAGACGATATGTGCACGCAAGTGATTGTTTATAAAGGGTGCACTACTTTTACCAACAAATAACCATTACGTTTTTCTCAGTTCCTGCTCAGAGGTAAGTACCATTTTTGACATGTGCTTAGCCCTCTTCTGTCTAGGTAACTTTCGATCTACGTTGACGTCATCCTTTTCAAAATCAGCGTATATTACTATTCATAAATAATTGATTGATAGGTATAAGCTTCTGGCATCAGGGCTTTCTTGAGCTATACACCATACAACCCTGCAGAACACCCCATCATCTTCCTCAAGGGGGGCGAAGCTGTTTTCAGAACCGCCCTCAGAGCTCTGTTCGTGTCCATGTACCACTTTGTCTTTCATTCCAACCCACCAATAGAGCCATTGAGCTGATTTCCAGTCATTTGCGCTTTGTTCATTCATAGCCAAATGTGGCCATCGTTCTTATTGCCTTTGAACTGGGGCTTAAAAACTGGAGACCGTCCACTAGCCTCCAGCCTGCTCAGAGAGTGTACTTTTGAATGTTATTGCTGCTCATAGGCTGTAGTTAAACAACTCAGTTTAGCCAATGCATAGTTGGTCCCTCTACAGATGAAGCCTCAATTTGGATTTNGGCCATCGTTCTTATTGCCTTTGAACTGGGGCTTAAAAACTGGAGACCGTCCACTAGCCTCCAGCCTGCTCAGAGAGTGTACTTCTGACTGTTTGACGCTTAAGGTTATTGCTGCTCTTAGGCTGTAGTTAAACAACTCAGTTTAGCCAATGCTTAGTTGGTCCCTCTACAGATGAAGCCTCAATTTGGATTTTGTTTGCAACGCACTCTTAGCACAGATCCATCGTAATGCCCTCCTACTCCTTTGTTTGACGCAAAAGCCTTTCTTTCATCTCTAATTACCCTTTTGCTTTGTTAGAATAGTGTTCATAAGTGGGCAAATGAGTTGAGTCAGAGGTCTGCCCCTTCCCCTGAATGAGAAAGTACTGTAGCTGTCATTCTAGAGTATTCGTAATTCCACAAAAAAAA